GTAGTTGGTAAAAGCCAAGGTTTCTTATTAAGTAAACAACAAAGTTAGATATATTAGTTCTATACAACTGTAAAACCTATAAGGAATACCTACAAGGGTTAAGAACTCACAAAAGCTAAAAGTTGGTTTACCTAGCACTCTCACTTTTTCTTCAAAAAAAATTTTGTAAAAGTGGACAATTTAGTTTACTCCCTCCTAAAGATCAATATATAAAATTACCAAAACAGTCAGCAGTGTTTATTTTCCAAACAGAATTGTTTACAACATGGATTAGAAATAATATAACAATACAAACATGACTATACATGTGCCTTGAGCTGCTAAAAATCTGTCAAACACTGCCTTCAGACTAACTAGTATCTTATGCTAACCCTCTATAATAAAGTCAAAGTTTTTTTCTCCTTTTTGGTTTTTTGTTTAAATAATCTAAGTAAATAGGAAGATAGTAAAGTAAGTTTTATTTAGTATAGTTTATAATTTTTACAAGCCTGACACAGACTTATAATTGTGATTGTCTGATATCTGTAAATTGCAAGTTTCACACTTGATACAGGCTTAAAATCATAACCATCTGATTTTGTAAATTGCAAGTTTCACAATTTTTTTTTTCTTATTTTTTCCTTTCCCCCTTTTATTTCTTGTTTTGTATCTTTTATCATTTACTCCTATACCTCTTTTTTTTTTGCATATAAAATCTTTTTTTTGTTTTTTTGCTTCCTTATGAGAAGATGTCATTAGATTGATAGTATTCTATTGTAGAATAGCAGTTAGACGAGCAGTCTACCTCTGTTTGAAGTAATGTGGCAGGTCACACTTAGGTACCAATAAGGTGGCTGGGTGATGTTAGACTTAAGTATTAGGAAAATTCTTTGTAATCTGTATAGTATCAAGAATTTTAATAAAGTACTAGCATGACTGCTTAAGTTAAAAAAAAAAAAAAAATTTAAAATAATAGTACTAGTAAGTAAAAAATTTAATTAAGCAAATTAAAAGTTTAAACAATTTATAATATATTTATTAGCCAGTAAGTAATGTTAAAATTAAAAATCAAAATTAAAAATTAAAATTAAAATTATTTCAAAAATTAAAAATTCAAAAATAAAAAATAAAAGCATAAACTTCAATTCCAAAAACAAAATATAAAATACAAAATACAAAATAATTTAATTTAATTTAAAGTAGTAGAGATATATCTAAAATAATAATTTCAAAATTTTAAAATGCTTTTTTACAATTGCTGTTTTCAAAATAAAATTCTTTTTAGATAAAGAATTGCTTTTTAGAGTAGTTTTCTTGAGAGAGGTTTCTGTTTTTTTTCTAAAATACTTTTAGCTTTTTTTTTTTTGTAATAGTTTTTAGTTTTTCTAGAATAATTTTTAGCTTTCTGCCAAAAGGCACCAAAATGTTACAGGGTTGTAGTCTTTTTGGTATAATACAACTAAGTAACAAGATTATCTGATACAGTAATTAACTATTGCAAATATATACAAAGTAAAGATATAGTAGTTCACTTTATTATATAACAGCAGACAAATAGTTCAAGATAGTAACAGTATATAAATTAAACTTTATTAAACAAATACACAATGACAACTTTGTCTGTAAAAATTACTTTAGAAGAGAAATATCACTTTTACAAGTTAGGAATAAAGGTAAGAAGGTCTAGTTCAAAGTATAAGAACTTAAAATTAATAAGAAAGAGAAAAAAATACTTTTTATATATCTTTTTATTTAGCTAAAATAGTAGAGATTTGAGCAACATTACTTGATACTATACTCAAAGTAATAAAAGTTTAAACAATATTAAATATCATTGTATTTAGAATAGTAAAAGTTCAAACAACATTAAATAATACAGTGCTTGGAGTAATAGGAACTGTGCAAAGGCAACTGGAGATATTGTTTATATCATTTGTTATTATGTTTGAAACACTTGAAGCTTGTGTTTAGACACTTGAATCTGTGCAAAGATACTTGAAATTTGTGCAAAGATACTTGAAGTTCATGCAAAAACACTTGAGGTTCATGTTAAGAATACTTGAAATTCTTGTGCTGCAGCACTTGACATAATAATTTGGTGCTAGAGTATATGAAAATTGTACAAAAGTACTTGAAATTTGTAAGATAATAATAACATCACAGATGTTAATCAGTGTTATGTGGCTGTATTATATTTCTAATAGCTAATTAAAATTCTTTTATCTATTCACTATATAATATAACTATCAGCTAATTAATAACTAATATTAAATATAATATATAAAATACAAGAATAAATATATATATAATTACTAATATTATTATATAATATACTATACTAAAATCTATTTTGTAACAATATAATGCTTATTAAAAAATTAAAGAAGAAGATAATATAATACAAAAAGTTAGATTTATTGATATATTAATATTTTTTTTAGATATAATTTTAATCTAAAAGTTAAAACAGAAATAAATAAATAAATAAAATAAAATAATAATTAATAAAAAAAATATATAAATAGAATAAAAGTTAAAGTATTTTAATAAAATAAATATATAAAATTAATAAAAAATAATAAAGTATAGAATATACAAATAAAATAAAATAAATATTTAACTAAAGTATCTTAATAACTATTTTAAAGTTTTTTAAAATTAAAATTTATTGAATTTGCTTAGTTGTAATAGAGATATTTTTGCTTAAAATTTTAAAAAATTTAAAATATTATATATAATTATAAATTCAAACACTTATACAATAACTTTAAATAAAGATATCTTGACATTTTCAAGCAAATTTAATATTTTTTTAATTTTAGAAATTTTTAGAATTAAAATAAAAAAGGTTTATTAAATTTGTTTGAATAATTATTAAAATATATTTATTTAAAGTTTTACAAAAATTTAAAATATTTATATAATTACAACTTTTTTTAATGATTACTTAAACCAAGTTGGCACTAAAAGTAGATTAAAGACTCTAGCTTTAAAGTGAATAATATTCTTAGTTTTACATTAAATAAACTTACTATTAACAAAGCTCAAGTATATGATACACCAAGAAGCAGACAAAACTTGAATGGTTCTTGCCTTAAGTTAAGCTTTTTGTTTGGCAGACTTCTTTACATATTTAGCATCCAAACTGAAAGAATATTCTGGAAACAAGTAAAGACAAAATCAGTTCTCTGATTAAGAATATTAAAAGCAGAAAAAAAAGAAAAACAACTAAAAAATCTCTTCTTAACTTGAACCCTTGCAACAATAATATACTATTACTTAATTTTTTTTTGTTTTTTTTTCGAAAAGTGAAAATTTGGCTTACTTTTATCGAAAGATTGACATTATGAATCACTTTTTTTTGCAATTACATGCTTGTTTAAACATGATGAATAAGGAACACAACAAATATATAGGTTAGTTAATTATGTAAAACAAATTAGAAAAGGATTTAATTCAAAAAAACTAAAAATATATTGAGATATATATATATTTTGAGGCTATATGCATAATATTTTTTAAAAAAATAGTTACAAAGGTTTATTAAAAATTGGACTACTTAAGTGCACTTCAAACCTTGGCACAGTACTTTATTTACTTGAAGATTTCTTCTATACAGAAAGTGTCTAATTTAAACTCTGTTCTACAAGTAAATACAGTTTTTATTCTGATTAAGAGTACCTAGTTTTTAGAGAATAGTCATAGTCTATAAAAATATAAAACATTGTAGTAAGCAACAATTATAGAATAGAGTTTTATTCTATTAGCAGATTTTTTTTTGATTTTTTTTATAGATTAGTTTTATTTTCTTTTTGTTAGTTTTATTTTACTTACTATTTTTGTTCCTTCTTTTTTTAACTTTAAAATCATTTTCTTTTTTTTTTTGTTTTTCTTTTTTCTATGAGAAGATGTCTCCAAATTAGTAGTATTTTATTGTAGAGCAGAGGTCAGATGAGTTATAATTTTTAGTTCTAATTAGATTAATGTAGCAGGTTGTATTTAGATACTATTTGGGTAGTCAGATTATAATAGACTTATAAGTTAAATAATATTCTGTATTTACATATATGGCTACAAATAGTTTAATAAAGTACTATTATAACTGCTTAAGGAAAAAAAAATACTTATATAATTAGAATAACAAATATTTATAAAATAATATTAAAAAAAATATAATAATATAGTAAAGTGATCATGTTTATAAATGAGAGTGAAATTAAAATTTAATTTTCAAATATTTCAACTATTAAAATTAAATTTAACTGTTGAAACTGAATTTATTTTTAGTAATTAAAATTAATTTAATGTTAAAATTAACTTAATCATTAAAATTAATTGACTGTCAAAATTAATTTAATTATTGAAATTAATTTAACTGTCAAAATTAATTTAACTGTTGAAATTAATTTAATTGTCAAAATTAATATCAATTGATATCATTATAAAATTAATACTAGAATTTGAATTTAACTATTTATATTGTTATACTATAAAAAATATAGAATATAAAATTCTCTATTCATAAGGTAAATGAAAGTCTCTTATGTAATATCAGATGGGTTAGTACTTAAAAGAGGTGTTGGATTTGGATAAGTACTAAGAATAAGTATATTTTTATTAACTATACTGTGAGACTTATTTTTTCTTATATTATAAATGCATTACTTATATACTTTTTCTTTATATGCTAATTATACTAATTATGCTATATATGCTAATTACACTAATTATACTATATATGCCAATTACACTAATTATACTAAATATACTACATTTGCTATATCTATTAATTACACTAATTATGCTACATCTACTAATTATGCTAATTACGCTACATCTACTAATTATGCTCTATATATATGCTATATCTAATAATTACTGTATATTATTATTTTATTATATGATCTAATTTAAATGAAATATCAACAATTCTATTTTAAATTGTAACAATATTTAGATTTAATTATTAGATTTGAATTTAACAATTAGATCTAGATTTAGTTATTAGATCCAGATATAACTTATATATAAAATCTGAATTTAAATATGCAGGCTTATTATCTACTCACAAATCTATTTCAGATATATAATAAAAATAATAAAGATCATTGTTAAATCTGACTCTTTTAATTAAATTCAAATTTAACAATTAAATCTGATTATGTAATAATTAAGTAATTAATAATTAAAATTACTTTTGTTTTTTCTGCAAATCTACCTATTTACACTATTCTAGAATAACAGTTTTTTAGAATCTGGCTAGCTAGAATAACTACTATAATAAAAAGTTGTTATTGCAAGGCATATACAATTAAGAATATATATATTTTTTATTTATTTTAGTTTAATTATTTTAATTCAGAAAAGCTATTAATCTTTATTAATTTCATTTTACTTATTTTAACTTTACTTATTATATTATCCAATTTTGACTCTTAAAATAATTGCATATTTCTTATGCATTATTTTACTTTCTTATGTTTTAATTTGCCAATTAATTATTATATGCATCATGTATATATGACTTAATTAATTGATTTTTCTCTCAAAACTAAGCATTTAGTTATTATTTTTTTTTTTTTACTAACAAAACTAATTATATAATCTTTTTAAAGTTTTAAATTAGTTCTTTTAATCATACTTGTTCTACTATAATAATATTATACAAGACTAATCAAAAAATTATATAGATTAAGCTTTACTAAAAATCTCAGTTTTTTTATCTATTAATATATTTTATATTTGCATTCCTTGATTAACAAGTGTGCTAATATTAAAATTTTTTTAATTATGATTAATAGCTTCATCTAGAACTAAAGATTAATTTTTATTATCCAAAACATAATTCAGATTAATGTTATTTTTAATTTCTAACATATTAGAATCAACTTCAAATAAATCATTTGTGATAAAATTATCTTCAAGATTATCTTCAAAATTATCTTTAAAATAATGTAAATAATTATTTCTTCAAATATAGCAGAACTTGAAGTAAGTAAATAAGAATAATTATGTATTATTTCTAAAAAATTACTTTTTAAAAAATTTTATTTAATGTAATTAAGTTCATAACATGCATTTGTAACATAATATGCATGTAATTTGGCCATATTTAAAACTTTTTTTATAGTTAATCTTGAATAAATTAAAATTAATATAGTTAATTAAAATAAAATATTATATATATAGTATATAGTCTAAATACAGATATATACTATATATATACATATTTATTTCAATGCTTTTGAGTAAACCAATTCAAAACAGAAAAACATGCTCATATCTTGCATTGTAAAGAGTAATTATGAAAAGTAATAAATCATTTTTTTGAAGATGATGATGTGGCAGTTTATATGTAGATTATCAAACTTTTAAAAGTTTAAGATGAACTTGAAAAAAAGAATTGTATAGAGACAATTAAAAATCATAATTATAAATTTGTGCAATTAATTTTCATGCACTATTATTTTCTTTATCTAATAACTTTTAGATAGTTAAAGCTCTTTGATAAATCTTTTAATATGCTTCAAAACCTAAGCCTTTATCATAATACTTGAAATAAAGAAAATAAGCTAATAAATGAAAATCAGTATTGAATTCTTTCTATTTTTTGTTGTAAAAAAATTTTTTTTTTTAAAATTCAAGTAATTGACATAGCTTTAATTATATTAACTATTTTAATTAAAATTAAAAACACATCAGCAAACCTAATATTAAATGATTCAACAGTTTTAATAACAATTCTAGCAGGTTTAAGAACTTTATGAAGACCTTCAATGTTGGTCCAAAATTCATAACTTGTAATGTAGTTTCTTAATTTTTTATTAAATATATAAAGATTATCTTCAATAATTTAGTAAAGTAAAATAAAAATAAAATAAATAAAAACAAATAAATATTTGCAAAATAAAAATAAAATAAAATAAATAAATAAAATAATTTATATTTTATAAAACAAGTTCTAATTTTAAAACTGAATTACAACAATCCTATACAGAACACTATCTAGTTTTAACAAATAATTTTAAACCTTCATCTTTAATAAGTAAATTTTTATCTTATCTTTTAATTGAGCACTATGCATATATAAATTTTGAAAGTAAGTAACAAATTCTTGATATTTAGAAAAAACTTAAGATCTGAAAGAAGTTTTTTAATAATATTTGCTACAATTAATTAAATATGATGAGTGATACAATAAATTAATATAATATAAGAATATTTTTGTACAACAAGATTTTTTGCAAGTTGCATTGCAATAGCACTATCTAAAACAATGCTTCAAATTTTTTTGAACCAATTTCTTTAATTACTTTAATAATTTTATTTGATAAAAAACTTTCTATATGTAAATAAAAAGAAAAATCTTGAACTAAATGAATATATTAATATCTTTTAAAAGTAATAATAACAAATGCATAATAAAAATAATGTAATTTATTTGTCCAACTATTAAGAACTAAATAATATATAATTTATATAATTAATATATATATACTGTATATAATATAATATTATTTTTATATTTAAAAATAATTTTACTTAAAATTAAATTTTTAAGTTGTCTAAGCTGTTCATTTATATTTATTGTAATTTGAGCAGTTTTTTGATTAATCCAAAAGTTACTTAAAGTTCTTCAACTAGAAGACTTATAATCTGCATTATGAATTTTAAGTAGATCAATAAAAAAAGAACCTTTAACAACCTAAAAAGAAATTCTACAACAAGTAAAAAAATGAGTTAAAGCTTTATTAATAAGATTGTTTTGATTTTGATCTATATAAGTTAATTAAATTTGTTAGTAATTTTGAATTGATTCTTAGTTTCAACTTCAATTTTTATTTTTATTTTTTAAGATTTTAAATTTATTATTATCTGTAAATATTTTTTTAAATATTTTCTGATACATTTTTATATTCTAATACTAAGTATGATTTTATTTTACTAGATCATCTTCATCATATAATTTTTTTATAGTATTTATACTTTATTGCTATATGCTCATATTTATCACATATTTTAAGTTTAATATACTCTTTATTTATAGAATCCTCAGATCTGCCAACTGACTTTTTAATCTTTGTTTTTTTTTTTTGTTATACCTATATTCACTAATACTTTTGTTACTAGTAGAATTTCAAAACTATTAATTCTACTAGTTTCAGAAATTTGGCTATTATCATTACTTTCATTTTAACTGTTTTTTGAAATAATACTTGATATTTAAAAATAATTAGCACTTTAAGAATGATAAATTTCTAAATTTATTATTTATACAAATATATAATATATTAATTACAATATATATATATATATATATATTGATGAAGCAATCCAGCTTATCAATGTCACTGACACAAAAAGAATTACAGACAAACAAGCTATCTATATTACTAATACTGTAATCATTTTTACTATTGAATACAGATTATATAACATTATTTTTAAACATTCTACTTGTGATAGCATTTTATCCAAATACCTTACTTTGATCAAACATAAAGCTAAACTTTTTTGTACCAGTCCTAACAGCACTATGCTTAACCCCCATATATATAATATATATAATATCTAAGATATCCAACTACAATATTATATATTCTGCTTTTAACAAAGAATTAATGACTTTGAGATTCTTGATATTTTTACCAAAATCCATTTACAACAACTTTAAAACAACCTTTGGTCTGCTATTAACATTCTTTAGCACAGCCAACCACTAATAGATAGACCTAACAAACTTATACTTAACTTCAAAATCATACAACTTCTACAACACCTTGGCATATCAATTTTAGCCAACTCTAATGTTCTGTAGTCTAATACTTTTTATGATGAATATCAACTACTAGAACTGATACTCAGTCAATATCCCAAATACTATACTTTCAAAAAACAACTTGAAAAAACAATATACTCTACTTAGAGCAATTAAGAACTGTAGACAATAGTACATTACTTAAATAGCATCATCTTTTGCCAAGACTCCATAATCTAATAAAAAGAAGGCAACCTCTTTGGTTTATCTACCTGAAAGATACAATCTTATCTGACAGACTACATTACCTAATTCTTCTCCATTTTCAACTTCCAGAAGTTAATGCTTTTGCATATAATACTTTACCAATCAAGAAAAAACTTAAACCTTAGCTACTTATCTATAATAATAATAATAAAGAGATCATTATTGGCAAAATTAACAAATATTTTTCCAATATAAACCAGTTCTCTATCTCACATTGGAATATAAATATTAATTTAGAACATAATTACTATTATCTACTTTTAGATTTAGACTACATACCATGTAACAAATGTCATTTTAACTCAAATAGAGTTAAGCAAACATGCACAATTAACATTTTAGCAACTATTTGTACTAGCTTTTTAGGAAGAAAAACTTCTAAATTCAAATTCAATGCTAACTACTTAAATCTTATTTATTTAATAGCAATTAAACATCCTTTACTAGTTTTTTATAACTATTCTACTATCAGTATATCAAATTCAATTATTACAGAAATCTTTAAACCCAATAACTGTTCAAACAAACTTGAAGAAATTTTTTTTTTTTTTTTTTTTTAAGGTGACCTTTTTGGTCTTTTGATTTTTATTAATCACTTGTCGGTATTG